TCCACTCTAAACGAAACATCAACTGTCCTGCTGCAGGTACAGCATCCTCCTGGCTCCTTGCAGGACAGTCACAAAGCAGGTGAGGAAAGTAGGGAAGGAACACAGCTCTGTCCTTAGCTCATTTCAAAAAGGAGGGAAAGAAAATGTAATCACTGCAGACTGGAATGACAGGGTGAAGCCATTTAACTGATGGGAAGGATGGTAGGATGAGTGGTAGGGCTCAAAGGGGAGGCAGAGAGGAGTGATGGAGGTGTGACGTTTCACCTGCACATTGCCCTCAGCTGAGCCGCCTGGCACCAGCTCAGAGGCAGGAGGCCACAAGGAGTTGTATGATGGCTGGCTGGTGTTTGGGATGCATTGCACAGGGCTTCAGTTTCCACTGCAGTGACTGAACTGCTCTTCTCTCCATTTTGGGGCAGGAGCGGGTTCTACTGTGATTAGCCATACCACAGGGCTAATGCTAATGCACAAAATGCTTTGCCGTAAGCGCTTTCTTCTCAGGCATTTCTACTGCAGATGAACCAGGTCTGAGATATTCAGGATCTTAACTGGCACAAGGACCCCAGGAGTGGTTTGTGGACAGCAACAGGAAAGACTGAGGGATTGTCATGCTTGTAAAGCTTATATATTTTCTGAGGTTTCAGGATTGCCAGCCAGTAGGGAGCTCTTCATGCCTGCTTGTACTCTTACCGTTCAGCTGATTATAGAGAAAGAGCAGAGGGGACCCAAAAGTACTGTTTTATTTTGCTCTGTTGTATTTTTGTCAGTGATAGAAAATAGAGATTAAGGCCAATCCCAAGAATGTTGTTGTACTCAGTTTTTTAAGTGCAAGCTATTTACAGCTCCAACATAGCAGACGTTGCTTCTGCTATTTGTCATTCAGGAATCGAGCCCAAAAGCTTTGCCTGTCTCCTATCATCTGTTTCTAACATCGTCTTCCATTATATATAGTCATGTTATCAAGCACTACCACAATACGTCCAGCTCCCAGAAACACCTTAACAGTCTTGTAACTTGTGGTTTTTGGCATGTGCCGGATGGTTTGGAGTGGATTAAAGGTCTCTCCTGGCGCGTGCTGGTGATGCATATCCCTCTTGAGTCTCTCTCTATCCCAGACTTGCCCTGTCCATTGGAAGACATGGTGGTCTGGCCAGCAGCTGCTCAGGTGAGGTCCTGCTCAGGGTGCAGGACAGGGATGGCACCCAGCAGCAAAGAAAAGTGTTGTTGCCACAGGCAGGCACCAACTATAGAACCAGTACAAGTGTTTGAGTCAAAATATAGTTAACCTAGATATGGATCTTGATGTCACAAGACAGTACTGAAACCAAGAGCTTAACAGGACTTTTACAAGGAGATATTTATGTGCACAATGAGAATAGTCCATGGTTAAAAGGAGTCAGGAAATACTTTTTATTGTTTTTCTGTTTTTCAAATGAGGGCCATGACCCTTTTATCTGAAAGGGCTTGAATCAACTGTGAACTGTCACTGTTAGGTGAAAACACTCCCTTTAAGGGCAAGTTATAACATAGCAGATTGCTGCAGGTTTTCTGGTACCTTCCTCTGAGGCACCTTATGGTGGCCAAGGAGAGGAGCTGACCAGAATGGGCAGAAATTGAGTGTGTCTTCCTTTAGTTTTTAAAACCTGCTGGAGGCCTCAGATTTCACGGGGAAAGATACTGGGAGTGACACTGTGGGAAGGGAGAACAGCAGTGAGGAAGGGCTGGGGTGGGGAGAACATGTGCATGGGTTTGCTTGTAATTAGTAGATTTAAACTTTGAAAGAAGTTAATTAATAATGAAACTTCTGACTGAATGATGCAGATTATGAAGACTGGCTTTGTCAGCAGCTGCAATTAATTACAGGCTCAGGCACGGGGAAAAGGAGGGGGGTGAGGGATGTGGGAAAGGGAAGGCATCACCAAGAGAAAGATGATAAACCTGGCTGCAGGCTGTTGCTGTGGTGACAGGAGGCAGTAGCTATGGTTGAGAGCAGGGACGGATTGAAGGAAGCAGGTACTTCTAATTACCCCCTCAACCAACCTAAGCAGGCAGCAACCCCTCTTGACTTGGGGCAGGAGATGCTCAGGTTTTCTCCTTGTACTTTCTTCCTTTCTGCTGCAGATTGGATGTGTTTTTTTCAAGGTTCCCAACTGCTCCAAAAGGAAAGCAGTGAGGCAGTGGCTTTTCCTAATATCACTTTGATAGCCTGGGAATGGCCAGCAATCCAGCACCGTCCTTGGAAAGCATAGACAATGCTGGCAAACTTTGAGAGCTGATATCCAAAAGGCAGGGAAGAAGAAATTGTATAGATGGCCACAGATTTTTAACAAGAAGATGAGGGCCTTGCACATCTGGCCCAAGTTTCAGCCTTTTTGGGAGCACTTGTTATGACTGGTCAGATCTTGTGCTTTGGGGTTTTGCTAGCTGCCCAAAGGCACTCTGCCCTGCTCTGCATGTTCTTGGTGGGGACACTGCAAGAGGCATGAGAGGGGCACGGGACCATCCTCACATCCATACAGTGCTGCTGCCAAAGCATGTGCATAGACGTGTAGATCTGCATTAAATAAAAACTCCTGACTTATGCCTAGGGAGAGTGACTTTTGCAACCGTTGGCTCAGCCCACTCTGACACTTGGCCCCTTGCAGAATGTCCTTCACACTGCTCCCTTCACCAGCACTTCACTGGTGCTGCAACTGTCAAAGCACCTCCTGAAAAAGAGAGAGACTGATAGAGCTGGAACTGCTCAGCCTAGTGGAGAGAAGGCTCAGGGAGATCTTATCCATGTGTATCAATACCTGATGGGAGGAGCAAAGGACAGAGACTGCTCAGTTTTGCCCAGTAACAGGGCAAGAAGCAATGGGCACAGCCTGAATAGTGGGATGTCCTATTTAAACATAAGAAAACACTTTTTCTATGAGTAAATACTCAAATGCTGGAGCAGGTTGCCCAGAGAGGTTCTGGTGCTTCCATACTTGAAGATTCAAACCCCAACTATATGTGACCTTGACCAATCTGCTGTAGTTGATGTTATTTTGAGCAGGGGAGTTGGACAAAATAACCTCCAGAGGCCCTTCCAACCTCAACCATTCTGTGGTTCTGTAATTCTGTGAATGATGATGCCAAATAGATTTTGAAGAGTCCAGAGGAGAATTGCAGTCTTATCTGAAAAGCCTGTGTGAGCTAATGGAAACCTCTCAAATTGTTTTCCTGGACTTTGGATCAGATCATTAAAGAAACTTGGAAGGGAGAGAAGGCGAAAAGCTGAAGTTGTGTTGTATAGACCCCTGAGGGCAAATACTTTATTTTTGCCCCCCTTTTGGCACAGTCCTCTCAGAAAAGGTCTCTGGTTTTGAAGCCAGCCTACATCAAGGGTGGCCTCCGTGTGCATTGCTTTGTACAGCACTTGGGATAAACTTTGGGAGGTATAGTGATAACACATTCTTGAAATCACCTTATGGCATAATTGGCACGGTAGAACTAGTGCCCTGCTCTTGTCTGATTTTGCAACTGAATGTAGCTCACTGAAAAACAGCTGGGGGAGAAAAGAAAGAATTAATAATCTTTTTGATCAGATTGTACAGGTTAGTCATAAATCACTGTCAGAGAACGAGCATGGAAGACTTGCTCAGAACAAACCATAGTTGTTGAATGTCTTTCAGAAGTGATCAAAGATACAGGCCACTGTTTTTAGATGCAGTACTGCAAGGACTGAAAAAGGATGCCCTCGGTGGATTGTATTTTAAGTGGATAATTTCATGGATTTCATTATTGAAAAAAAATAGAAGAAAGTTGTCTGACAGTGGAAACTGGGCAGATATGTTGCTGTGAGGTGTATAAAATACCCAAGAATGATGGTTCTGCCAGAGGTTGGAGGTCTACTCTCATTAGCTCTACATCACCACTTTACAAGGGGAACACTGGAAAAGTATCACAGAAACGTGCCCACTTTCAGAGCTAAAATTCTGCAAATGAGTTCTTGGACAAGTGTCTATCAGACCTTAAGACTCCTTCAGTCTTAAGGAGGAGGGATGGTGAAGAGAGGGCAGATAGAGGGTGTGGAAAGCACAGAAAAGGTCAGATAAATACACCATTTTTATCCTCTTCTCTAATATATAAATGAAGTAGCACTTGATGAAATTAAAAGGCAACAAATTAAAAATAAATAGGAGGGAACAATTTTTAATGTAAAGTATAATTAGCCAATGTAGCTCAGGGCTGCCAACTATTATCAAAGCAGATATTTTAGCAAGATTATCAACAAAGGATTCAAATGAATAAGCAAAGCATCTGCAGGGACACAAGTGTAGCTGAGAAAACAATTATAAGGACTATCAATCCTCATGCTTTAGGCCATAAATAGATCACCAGCTGGGGTCAGAAACACAATTTCTCCCCATAGTTACTAAATAACTTAGGCACATCGTGGAGTTTTATCCATAGTGGGTTACTGCTGGAAGCAGAATAACCAGATGGAGCACTGGAAACTCTTTACCCCCAGGTTCTTCTTAGAGGGAGACTTCTAGCTTTGTGTTGTACCTGCTTCCCAGAAGGGCAATAATCACCAGGATTAAATAGACATCAGTCTATCCATTTTGATTTAGATCCCTAGATCTTAAAGGTCTTCGATGCATTTTGGTACAGGTCATCATGGAAAGTCTCTTCCACGTATTTGGAAAATTCAGTAAACCAATCAGGGGAGAGGTTCAGCAAACCAACTGGAGAGAAGCAAGCTTCTGTTTAAGCATAGCAATAATTTGACTTGTATAAATGCCTTAGGCCTTCTGTACTTTCCCTTTCTTAAAAGAGTTTTGGCTTAATCAAAGAGTGGAGTAGGGATGAACTGAGGGGGGAAAATGTAAGAATGTAATGAATCAACCTTCCAGCACTTCTTTCCCTTAATCTTCCTATTTTGCTATCCCAAGCCTAGAGCAAGCTTGTCTCAGTCATGATGCTTTTGTAGTTTTCCTTGACTCTTTTCCACCTGGTTCGAGTGTGTCAGCATGATGGTGATTTTGCTAAACTGCGTTACCCTGGGAATGTACCAGCCATGTGAGGATATGGACTGCCTTTCTGACAGGTGTAAAATCTTGCAGGTAAGCGGTCTTCCTTCTTGTTGTGATGGTGCTTCGGTCCAAGTCACAAATTTTCACGCATGCTTTCCTTCAGCGTGTGGGCAATACCTTCCCAGAGAGGTTGGCAAGACTGTCCCTGGCAGTAGGCTATCCTGTTGTAAAGTGACAAAAGCTTGCTTTGAGGAGAGGAATGGGGCGAGAAAGAGAATGAAGTCTACCTGTGACCATGCAATACAGAACAGCTGCTAATCCTCCGGATCCTGCACGTAAGCAGGAGTTTCCTGATGTAGACAGTTACAAGATATATAGCTCAGAGTTCAGCCAGCAAGAGGCAGGCAGGAGAGAACAGCAGCCCCCACTGCATTCACTGCTCTGCTGAGGAGCCAAGAGTATTACTGATTCAACAAGTACTGTGGCATTTAGGATGCTCAAAGGAAGAGGAAATAAGAGGAATGCTTAGAAGGGCCATAAGTACATCCAACTAGCTGTGCTTGCTGCTTCCCCAAAGAGAAGGTGACAGCAAAGGGTGTCATTCATAGTATTGTTGTGGCTAAGACCTTCAGATATCTGAAGGTTTTATCTGTGATTAGTATGTGCTGTTCAAACTCTGCATGAAGCTGCACTATGTTCTCAGTTCAGCTATTTGCAGCAGGGTGATGAGGAGCCCATCCTGGGGGACCTCAGAAGAACAGTGTTTTCCTGGCTGGATTTGGACCTGCTGGTGCTGAGCCAACACCTCCTTTCAAGTCTGTTTAAGGAGTCTCTGAGTCTGCATCAATTATTTGACCTACAGGGGAAAAAGAAGCTACAGAAACCTTCTGCAAACTTGAGCAGCAGGAAGCTATGATGCCAGGGCTGCATGGGAGAAGCTTTTCCAGCCCTTCTAACTCATTTTCAGAAGTACTTAAATTTGTATTTTTGTGCATTCTGGGTTTTAAAGTCAAAGGCTGGGAATGCTTATCAGATGTGCTCTTGGGTTTCTGTTTGGCAGGTATTTGATGATTTCATCTTCATCTTCTTTGCCATGGAAATGGTCTTAAAGATGGTTGCCCTGGGGATCTTCGGCAAGAAGTGTTACCTTGGAGATACCTGGAACCGCCTGGATTTCTTCATTGTCATGGCTGGGTAGGTTGATAGTTTCTGGGTTTATTTGTTCTGTGTTTACTAGATTCCTGCATAGAACAGAAATGATGTAACTGAAGGGAAGTTTCTACTCTGGTGCTACTCCAGTACATCTGCCGAACTGGAATCAGGCATGCTGGGGTTAGCAGTCTACGGAAGAAAGAGTAGACAAGGTAGCTTAGCTCCCCAGCTGATGTGAAGCCATCTGTCTAGCACAACTTCAGCAGAGGGTGTTAATTTGTACCAGCTGAAGAGCTAACCCAGAAACCTTTCTGGGTTTTTTTGTTTTGTTTTTAAAATGTCTGAGTAGAAGAGGTGTAACCTTTACCAGAACCAAACTGAAGCTAATGTTTCTGTTTCCAGCAGCAGTGTTTCAAAGGTAGGAATGTAATTTTTGTTACTATGGGCTTTTTGCCATTGTACTGCACCAGGGTTATCCACACTACTGTCAGGACAAGCTGACATTAGAGTGTTTTTTACAAAAAAGTTGCTATGGTGAAGCTCTGATTTGCCCCTCTGCACATATGAAGTGGAAAGTCTATCAGGATTTGCCTTTTGAATCACAGCAAAATGTCCATTTCTGATATCAGTGGGATGTGCTTTATTGGAATTATAATTTTCAATTAGAATGCCTTGTGGTATAATAACAATTAAAAAAAAAGGTCAGAAATAAATATGTAATATTGCTGTTCTCACTGTAAAAAAGTGAATATCTTTCAGAGAGAAACCCTCACTTTTCTCTTCCTCCCAGTGAGGAATTACTAGCATCCACCGTTGTCTGAAAGTGCAAGTATTGCTGACTGAACTAGCAGTGATTTCGAGCTCACTTTGCAGAGTTTTACCCTGTGGTGTGGAGCAGCACTGTCTTTATATTTGCTTTTGACACAGTTCTTCTACAGCAAGGCTTGAAAGTCATTCTCTCTAGAGGGGCTTATAATTGTTTGCTTCTGGGAGGAGCAGAGAGTTTCAAACTCAGTGCAGTTGTAAAAGCTTGAAGGCTGATTCTTGGCTAGGTAGTGCATGAAAGGAGGACAGGTAGATGAAAGCTGTAGTCTTTTCTGAATTAACACAATATGTGTGAGATAGGAAGACCTTTCTTGTGGCTGAGCCTGCTGCGATTAGCGTCTGATTTTAAATGGCCTGACATGAGGACTGTGAGCTAAAGTTAAAGCTCATGGCGATGAGAAAAGCCAGATCATTGTATGCTCTAGTCTGAACTCCTGTTGGCAAAATTGCTGGAAACTGGATGCAGTGAAAGCAAGACCCTAGCAGAGCAGCCTTTGAGGAAGAAAGGGAAGAACTGGTATGCTTGAAAAGGGGACGTTGGAGCCCATGGTGCTCCTCTGCGTGGGTGATATGCTGCGGTGTGTTGGGAGAAAGGCTCTGCTCTAGGTGGGCACAGGAGCACCAGCATATGAAGTAAAAGGCTTGGGAACTCAAGGTCTTGCTCTGCCTGGTGTCTCTGCAAGCATGGTATGTGAGTGATGCTGTCTGAAGAGATGATGAAATCAGTGGGACAATGTTAAATGAAAGAGGGTGAGCTCAAGTACTTCATGCAGAAAATAAGTGAAATCCACACTACATAGACAAGAAGGGAGAATATTTGATTTACATATTTCCTTCAGTCGCCACTGCTGGCAGAATTTTGAGGAGAGAGAGGCTCTTTTGTGCATCTGATAGCAGTACTAGAAAAAAAAGCTCATATCTGAACTCTTTTCAATGCCAAAGAGACTTAGTATCAACTCCTTAGATATAAAATAATCAGTGTGGAGGACTTTTCACTTCAGGTCCAAAACGGAAAGAAATTTGTTTCCTGATATCCATGCAATTGTCCTCATGAGGTGTCAGGCTGAAATGATAGTAATCTCATTAGAATATCTGATCTCAAAAGACTTCTGCTAAAGAAAGATTTTTCCATTTAGTTATATAGAACTAATGACTGTATAATGTATTTCAAGTTAAAAAAGCTTGTGGTTATTAATTCATTATTCTTTGAAATTCATTAAAATTGTCTGCACTGTTTAAATCAAATCCAAGGCTTAAACTTGCCCTTGTGTACTGTAGGCTTTTATTTAACTTGAAATGTAAGCCCCAAGCTTTATCCTTATTGATTCCACACCTGGATCATGGCTTCAGCTTACGCTGGTCCAGATGCTGCCTTAGCGTTCTGACTCAGAGAGGACAACCTGCATTAGGTCTTATACGTTTTCTCCATGCCAGCAAGTTAGATCTTGATCAGAGGCTAATCAGTTTTCTCTAAGAGCTTTGTCCTTTTCATGGTCTTAGATTCTCATTTTCTGCAAGGGAGGTGATAAACTTCACTCTTAAGAAAATGTCTGTGGTGTTGGGAAGTAATGCCCGGCCTAGAGTACACGCAGCTTCTCTCAGTTTCAAGAACAAGGACTGTACTTCCCAGCCCATTCTTCTCCCTTCTCCCTTTCCAAATGAACACCGAGGTAGCAAAGGCTGGAAGAATAAGCTATAGCATGGAAAAGTGAAGTGCAGGCAAGGGACCGTTCTGCCGGTCATTCCCGGGCAGCTGAGATATCTCCCTCTGGCTCACTGCACGACAGCAGGTTTTATCAAAGAGCATAACAACAATTGCTGCTATTGCCCAAGATGGTGTTTTGGCTACATAAGCAATGTATTCAGGCAATAATTTGTAGTTTTTTCCTCACTTCCTTGTAAAGCCAAAAGCTATAGTTTTAGTTACCTGAATTCCCTAATGTGCCCCTGCCCTGCTTGCCCCTGCCCTGCTTGTCTCTGCTCCCCACGCAACCCAGCAGCTCAAGCAGGAAGACTCCATTGTCACTAAAACTGTTCAGTTTCCATGGCAATAGGAGATGACATCATCAGAACTTTCTCCACTCTCAAACACTCCTTCCCCCAACCACCTTCAACAGGTTTTTTAATTAAAGGATTAGAAAAAACCCAAAACAACAGTTGTAAGTCAACGCTCTACCTCATTGTTCCTCTCAGAGCTCCTAAAACCATGCAAGGCAATTTGGTTTAAAGAATGTCAATGCCCTTGTGTGCACAAACAACCAGGGCTGCAGATTCAGCTTGTCAATACTCCAGTTCCAACTACTTGTTGGTGACAGGAGGTTGCAAGTTCCCAGGCATTTCAAGAAGACTGTGCTCATCACCAGCTGTCCTGGTGGGAGTCCCTCTTCCCCTGCATTTGTGATTAGGTCTTGTCTGTCATCATTTGTTTCCCACAGTGATGGGTGCATTTGAAGAGCTTGATCTGAGGCAACTTCAGAGGGCAGCTTCCTAAAGTTGAGAGCCTGCTACGTGTTGAAAGTTGAGATAATGCGAACACTAATCACATTGGAAATGTCAGCCAGAGTCTATATGTGTGTGAATTTAAGGGAAGAGTCACTTATTTTTGGGCCCATACTCATCAACTTTTTAAATCAGGCAGTTCTCCAGCAATAAAAGAGTGAGCAATTTCTCCTACTCACCCTTCTGTGAGACAGTTGTGTTCAAGTGTGATTGGAGATGATGCCACTGTTCCTCTGGGAAGGGAGACATCATCCCTTTATGTCACTGGCCCAAGTGTCCCCCCGGCCTTGAGGGCATGAATTCCACAGAGGGAGTGGTTGTTCTGCCTCTCATGAGCCAAGTGCTGTAATTAACCGTCTATGGTGGGAATTTTGTCTGTCTTTGCCCTCTTCTGTGGCATTCCTGGAACATGTCCTGGAATACAATTTACTTGTGTAAATAGGTAGGTAGGTACATAGGTAGGTTAAGGGGGAGTGGACTTCACTACATTGCTAGAGGGCATGACTGTGATTACGAGTGTGTCCCCAAAATATGCCCAAAATCTTTCCTTAACTACTTGTTGCTTAGAGTCCAATGGCTAAGGAGAGGCTGGTCTACCTTTCAGAGAATGCCCTGTCTTTACCTCTCCCCATTATCACTGTGGAGTTTGCCATGTAGATTTCACGCTGTGGTCAAATCTCAACCTGACCTTGCCTCTGATGAGAGGAATGGTATGTTGGATATCCTGGCATTTTAAGATATTTTTTCAGTGTTCTTAAGCAGCTTTTAAAAGTGGTGGATATCAGAACAAGACACAGTACTCTGTGTAACTGCTCCAGTGCCTTTGGCGGTAATATTGTCTCTCTATTCCAGCCTGAAATTTCCTGGTTCCTACAGCCAAGTATTGCGGTATCCCATCCAGTCATTTATGGCATCTCCCTATCAATTAATTCAGCTCCTTTCTTCATTGGTTCAAGCTTTATTCATTGGGGTTTTTTTCCTGTCTCCTCTTCTGAAGAGAAAAAAACCTTCCAATTAGTAGGAACAGGAAACTTTGTCCCCAGATATATGTTGGTTTCATTTTTTCACACTGGAATACTGGAACCTGTATTATTTGCATTTCCAAAGCAGTTCATACTTTTGTATCACCGACTTGTCCTCTTCATTTCTTTTCTCTTCTCCCAAAAATATGCTTCAACTGTAAAATCCATCAGTGACATTTTTTAGTTTTCTGTCAGGTTGTGATAAATAAATAAAGAACAGAGTGGCAAGAATTGCACATTACAGAAGTACATCTGCGCACAAATGAGTTCCCATTTAGTGCTGCATGTGGAGTTCATTACTTAGCCAGGTTTTTGTCTCCAGCTAACGTATGTCATGATGATTTCATATCATTCTGGCCATATCAACATAATTACTCGTGTGAACTAGACTTGTAATATCGTAAAAAAATTATAGCATATTAGTTTGATGTCTATTTTTCCTTAAACTTGTGTTGATTATGGTTAATTTTATTATCCACTTTTAATCCATAATCTATCAAAGCAGCATATTGGTGATTTTATTACTGTATTGTGATGAGCATGAGTCCAGTCAGCCTATTGAGATCACTGTGTACTGGTGCAACATTAGAATTCCTTCAACCCTTGGATGCTTTCCCAGTTTTCTGAGTCTAATCAAAAATCATCAGTACTGGTCCAGATCTTTTCTGGCCTTTTTTAAAAAAACTTTCGCAAACA